ACTTGTCTAGCTCCCACGATTTGCCAGGCCTGAAGTCAGGTCAGAGAACCGTCACACCAGGACACCAGCAGCAGCTCTGGCTGTGGCTGCCACAGAGCCCCAAGGCAGAGGGATGAAGGAGCACCGTGGGGAGGATGCTCTCAGGGGAAGCAACGTGTAGAGACTGATGTGGGAGGGGGTGTGGCTGCAGGAAGAAGGGTCAGCAGGCCAGGGGGCCCGAGCAGAGAGCAAGGGGGCAACCAGCCCGATGGCTGCCTGCCAGTGGAACTAAGCAGCAAGGGCCTTCCACCTGGTGGATGCAGGGGAGCCTTTGGAACTGTGGGGATTCCCAGGAAGCAGCACCCTTTCCTAGCCTGGCTCTGAGCAGGTTGAGGAATAGAATGGAACGTGGAGGCCTCTGTAATCACTGCCGGGGCCAAGCTGCCGGCCTCTCTGCCTGAGCAAGGCCTCTCTGCAGGTCTGTGTGGAAGATCCAATCCGTCTAGTTGAAATGGAGAGAATGAGAGCAGAGAGGATTGTTTCTAGAAGCAGCTTAAGTGCCAGAAAGGCACAGAGTTCTATTCTGGGAGTGAGGGGTGTGTGCAGGGTGAGGGCCTGCCAGGGCCTGGAGTCTCCCTACCCCGCCCCAGCCTCTCTTCTGCTTTCCTTTCTAGGCTACACTCTGCCCGCCCCCTTGGCCATCCCCCCATCTTTCTGTCTTCCAGAGCCCTTCTCTCTACTCTTAACTTTAATTTTCTAAAATACCTTTACTGTGTGTAGAGAAAAGATGCAGAATTCCATCCAGGGCAAAGGCATCCCTCTCCCTATAGAGGCATGCAGGTGGCCGGTGGCAGCAACGCTGTCCTTCCCCTCCAGAGGCCTCTGTGACGGTGCCTTAGCCCTGAGCAGAGCAAGTGGCCACGGGGTGAGCCGCTAACCTGCAGGTCCCAGACGAGGGGCCCAGGGTCCTGTAGGGAGCACCCTGCCCGGGAAGCCTCTCTCTACCTGCCACGCTCTGGACGATGGCCCAAAGACACATAAGTGACAGTCTAAACTGCAAATCCAAGACTTTGTTTATCTTTATATTTTGAAGGGTGGGGGGATGAAGAGAGGAAGAAAGAGACAAAAATGCAAAATTTTGACAACCTGGTTTTTTTTTTTAAGAAAGCGCTCCTAAATTAGTTCACTATACTTCTGTGACTCTTCTTTTTAAATGATAACACATATTTTTCTTTTAATTTTCAAAGTGTAAAATATTTCACATGGTAGGAATGTACAGAGCAATAGAATCCCACGTAACCATCATTCCAAGTTAATAATCTTTTGTGACATTTGCAGCAGATGTATTTTTCAGAAATAAAACATGACTAACACAGTGGACTCCCCTCACCCCTCTTCCCAGGCACTCAGTGGGCCTGCAGCAGAGGGGAGGCCTTCCTCCCCACAGCATTACTGCAGTCCCCACCCGCATGTGTAAATAGCACACATATTGCTGGATTTTGTCAAATTCTGTCATCGGCATCAAGTTGTCTGTATCCTTTTTTAAAAAAAATATTATTTTCCCCGCTCAACTCTATATTCTCAGGACTTATTCATGTTGATACCAGCAGAGCTATCTTACTCACTTTCATCCCTGGGAACATTCTGTTCCATGGAATATGCCGCAGACTCTGTATCCAGGCCTCTCCTGCCATTTAGGACGTTTCCAGCCCTGCACTTTGCAAACAATGCTGCAAGCGCTGTGCTGGGGCCTCCGTGCCCCTGCCTGGCATTTTTCTTGCGGTGGGACAATGAGGCAAGGAATCCAGGGTGAGAGGGAGTGGGCGTCTCCTGCTCTTTCAGATGTGGTCAAATGCCTCCCTAATTCCTTTGGAGCCATTTCAACTAGCATGGCAGGGAGAGCGAGTGCCCTGTCTCTGCACACCCTGGGCCTTGTTTGGTGTCATCCAGCGGGCGTAAAGTGGCATCTTATACACCGTATGATCTCCCTGTCAAGAGTGAATGTGCGCCTCTGCTAACTAAGCTCTTAGGTCTCCTCTGTGTGGAGGGTCTGCCTGCATCCCTGACCCATTTCTCCATTGGGTGGCTTGCCTTCACCCGCTGATGTTGGGAACCCTTCCTGATTCTGCAGAGCAGTCTTTGCCATTTAGGTGGGCCGCAAATATCTTCTATCTTCAGCAATTTATTTTCTATCCAACTGAAGTTTTTACTTTTAATGCAATCAAATGTATCAAACTTTTCTTTCTGCATTCCTTCCAGTATTAAAAAAAAAAAAAATCCTCCCTTACCCCTGGCTCTGCAACCCAGCTGTGTCAGAGTGTGTGGGAGAGCTTAGGGAGGGCTGGTGTGTGCGCCTGACTACGTGCCGCCGAATCGTGGTGTGGGCGAGCCGTTTGGGTGCACAAACCGAGAGTTAGCAAAAGGATATGAAGCATGGCCCCAGACAAACGCCCTATACAGCCTCGCTTCTCTGATGAAAGCAATTGTCAAAACACACTTCCTTCTCCTCCCATGTTTTCTTGCGAGCGAGGATCCTACCTGCTCCGGCCGGTCGGAGCGACTCGCGCCGTCTCTGCAGCCCCCTGGGCGCGCTCACACCCGCACTCACGCCCCACGGTGCGCTCCGGAGTGTAAAACGGAGAATGCGAAGCGAGTGATGGAGTAGCTGCCGGAGGGACTGAGGGTGGGGTGGGGAGAGGTGGGGGATGGAGGTGAGCTAAGTTCTTCCAACGACTGTCTTGCAGAAACACTTAAAAGAAAAGGGAAAAGAAAAAAACGACAACTCTTATCTCTTTCCACTTGCCCAGAGCAGCTCCCGCGGCGCGCGGACCTCCCCGGGCAGCGCGCGTGTGCGCGCACACGTGTGTGCGAGTCCACGCCGTGAACGTGGAGGGCTGAGGACTCTCGAACACTTCTCCTTCCAGACAGCCGCCGATTGCAGGACGAGGGCGCTCGGGTCTTCGCTGCCCCGGAAACGGGTCTGCAGTAACTCGGATCCCTCATCCCGTACCCGGCCCGCGACCCTCCCCCCACCCCTGCACCCGCCATCCAGTTCCCGCTCGGCGCTCCAGGCCCCGGACTCGGACGCCGGCGGGGACCTGGGCGCGGGGCCGCGCGCACGCCTCGCCACTAGGGTCTGCGGTTCCGGGCGGGCGGGGAGGAGGGATGAGCCGAGAGCCAGGGGAGCACGCAGGCCAAGCCTGCAGGATGCTGAGAAATGGCGAGGGAAGGATTCTCGGGGCGCAGCGCAGGAGAAACTTCAGGAAGCGCGTCGGAGGCGGGGCATCTGTGGAGAGGATGGGCACTGTGCTGCCACTAAAGGAAACCGGGAGGGACACGTTAGCGGCCAGGAGACCTCGCAGTCGTCCGAGCTCCGGGGTCGAGCCGCTGGTGGGAGAGCCGGGTCGCCGGCTGAGTCCAGAAAGTGCAGAAGAGAGCTCCCTGCGTCCTGGGGCCCCAGCCCGGGTCCCCACCCGCGGCGCTGCCCGCAGGGCCCAGGCTTTCGGGCCCGTTTGAAAACCCCGGGCCGCGTCCCAGCTCGGGGTTCCTGGACAGGAGCGGCGGGGACCCCTGGGCCTTGCGCGGGTTCGCCTACGACTTTGTTTTCCAGACACACGTGGCCACATCAGAAGAGAGTTTGAGAACCTCGGAAATCCAAAGTGTCCATAGAATCGTGAGCGGGCTCAACCCCGCTTGGAAGGCATTTACGTTTCATTTTGACTTAAATTTTGTACAATTTATAGCGACGTGTTTCGGTTTTCCAAAAAAGAAAAGAAAAACAAAGGAAAACGCAGATCTCTCGCGCTCTTTCTCCTTGTTTTTGCTGTCACTCGCTCCGCAGTCCCGCCAGGAAGTGCGGGCACAGGAGAACTCGGTTAGGAACACACTGGAAATGTGCCTTATACATTGAAACGACTTACATTTCACACATGACTTTACACTGGAAATGTGCCTTATACGTTGAAACGACCTACATTTCACACGTGGCTTTATTCGGGGCAACAACGTAAAATGTGTCTCTTTAATCTTAACTGACCCGCCTCCAAATTTACACGTTCCACAATGGCACCTATTTTCCCACCAAACTCTTACAAACTCCCCGGAAGACAGGGCAAAAGGCGGAAAGAGAGAAAGGTCGAGCGAGACTCAGGTTTTATTGAAATGCTCCAGGGTTATTGTCCTTCTCCGAATCAAACCGACGTGGGAGGAGGCAGGTCGGGAAGCCCGCCGCCCGTCGGTGGCCGGGGACAGCGCCGGGGCCACCGCGATGGGGACGAGGCGGCAGCCGCGGGCCACAGCGCCCCCTCGCCGCCCGCGCGCACGACTTCGGGCCGCGTCGCCGCTCAGCCTGCCCGGCTCCCGGGAGCCCCAGGACGGAGGTGGAGGGCGCCTCGGCCTGCGCCGCCGCCGCTTTCCGGGGAGGACCCGGAGCCCAAGCCCGCGCGCGTTTCTGCCGTTTCCCAGAGCTTGGCCTCCAGGAAACCACAGCTCCTTGAAACGCGCATGTCCACGCCGACTTGTTCCAAAGGCATCGGCCACTGTTGGGACAAGAAACAGTAATGTGACAGTGTTAACAACCACCACACCCGCTTTTTTTTTGAATGCACATCTGGGGCAAAGGGGCGGGGGGATCCACCGTAAACCTGAAAGCTCACTGCCCAGGTTAATGGTTCCGTGTGAGCGCGCTTTCCGGGCACTTACCCGGTTGGCCCTGCGTGCCGGCCCTTCTCTTTAAATCCAGCTTGGAGGGCAACTGAAAGCAACAGAAGCCAAGTGTACGTCCGGACCGAGACGCTCCACAGGCCTGAAAGCCCTCCACGACCGTGAGCGAAGCATCTAGGTCCCTGCTCTCGGAGAGAGGAGGCCTGGCGGCTCGGGACGCAGCCGAGCGCTCCCCGCGGTGACCCGAGACTCAGTTCCCGCGAATCCAGGCCACAGTCGCAGGCGGCCGCGCTCCCAGCCACCGCGTCGAGCCTCGACACATGCAGCCTGTTCTTTCGATTGAGTTTTTAAAAAGAAGACCAAGCCAACTTTAATCTACGAAAAGGGAAAGTGATTTTAAAAAATCGGAGAGCTTTAAAGCGAAACAGAGTTTATGTATCCCAATAACAATGCTAAGCGTAAGTTTTAATGTCTCTGCGTAGGCATTTCAATTTGCTACAGTCACTACTAATAAAAACGGCATGTAGGGCGATTCGACCGTTTAATAGTGCAAGGTAGACAGTTTTTATTAGTAGCAGGCAGCAGTACGGAAAATTTAGATTTCAGTGGAGGAGTATAATTGCTGGGGGATAAAATACACTCAGAGAAGAGACTGTCTTCAGAATCAGCAGCGCCGAGCTAAAGGCAGAGGGAAGTGCCAGGCAGCCCTTTCTGGAGATGCACCCTGGGCGAGTCGAGACCCTCCAAAGCCACGTGCACATGTCTGGTTATACACTTAATTGATGTCAAAATCGAGTGTATCGGAGCTTATGCTCCTGTTCCAAACTGGGGATGTTTTTGTAATAATTCGCTGTTTTCTTTTCTGCCCCTGGCAGAGATCAGGCCCAGGAGAGAGATCGAGGGAGGGCGAGGGAGGGCGAGGGAGGGCGAGGGGGGGCAGGCCCAAATGCTAATGAGACAACAGCAGGCGCTGGTCTTTGGAAATGGAAATACTCAGGCCAGTCTTCCTTGGAGATAAACATTAGACCTGATTTTTTCACTTAAACTATGTAATTGGAAGCGAATCGAAGGCCTGTAACCTGATCTGCTGCTGTTTACGTTGGTCATCCAACGTGTGTCTGTCTCATTTATGGCCTCTTCCCGGCCGAATACCCTCCCAGGAAGACCACAAATGCCGTGGGTCCTGTCAAAGGCATGCGCCACAGGGCTGCTGGGGCCTCTGGCTCTCTCTCCTTCTCTTTCCTTTTTAACGCTAGGATAATTGATTTAAAATATCTGCCCTGAACTGAATTAGGACGTCCTGCTTGGGGTCACAGCATTGTTGAAACTCCCCTGCTGGGTGCTCACAGCGGCCCAGAGTGTGTGGGAAGTAGTGGGGGAGGGGCGGGGCGGAGGGGGCTGTGTTTGGGGGGGAGGTGGCGAGTGAGGTGTAGCGGGAGCGGGCTGGGGTTTGTAGGCAGCGTGTGGGGACAGGAGGGAGCGAGTGGCTTGGGGGCTCGGGGGAGAGGCGGCTGGTTAAAGGGCCTGGACCGCACCTGCCGGGAGCCACGCACCCGCAGGCCAAGGAGGGTGGGTTCTGCTCAAGCCCGGCACTGCCGTTTACATCTGGTTCCCTTGGACCTAGGGAAAGACAGACGCACCCTGACTGCCTCGAAGGTTCCGCAGGCGATCAGGCCGCAGACTGGGGCCTCATGGTCCCCGCGCTGCAGCCGCAGCCAGCAGAGCGGCCGCAGGACGCGCGCGCGGCGCCCGCGCGACCGCGACCCGAACGCGATAACTCTGGCCACTCTGAGAGCTGCCCAACCAACAGGGGGCTGCGGGAAGGGGGGGTCTGCGGGCCGGAGCTCCCACCTACCGCGTTCTCCCCCTACAGGTCACCCACCCGAGACGGCCGCCGAGGAAGTGGCACCTGTTGTGTGGGCCACCCCGCCGTATCCTCACACACCCGACCCCCCGTGGACCTCCTGAGAGCCACCGGTGACCTCCCCCCACCTCCCCCCGTCCCCCAGCCCAGTCGCCAGACGCCCGCTTCCGCTGGCCCGGCCCCCAGAGAAGGTGTGGGGAGAAGGGTGTTTTCGAGGAACTGGGGGTCCCAGGGCCCTTTTCCTAGCATCTCGCCGCTGGGCCCTGCGAAGCTCCTCCCGAGTCGCCTGTTACCTGAGCTACCTGTGCCGCCGGCTGCGCCGCCCGTGCCACCAGCCTGTCGTTTTCTCGTCCCTTCCCGAGTGACAGCGAGGCTTCACGTCGTGCCAGAGGCGGTCTGTCCAGTGACAATCATTCCCCAGAGTGTTTTACAACACACATCCGAAAGAGGAGTCAACTTATTAAAACAAAATAAAATAAAACTCTTTGGAGGGGGTGGCGTCTTCCCGGACGAAGCACTGGAGGCGTGGGCTAAAACGCTTCCTAGAGCAGAAAGTCCTAACACCCCGGGACCGGCTTGCCACTACGGACTTCGGGGCAGAAAGCTCACCTCAGGGCCCTCCTGGCAGTTCGCAACGAAAGTGCCCCGTATCCGGGTCCCGCGGGGACAAGCTGGGCGGCGCGGGGCCGGAGACCACACGCGAGGCCACGCGGGGAGCTTCGCACCGCGCGGCAGGCAGGGTGGACGCAGGAAGGTGGAAGTCAGCGCCACGCACGGCACCCCCAAGAGGACCCGGGCCTCGGGTGCCACACTTCCGCCCCATCACCCGCGGCTCTCGGCCCTTGCACTAGGGTCCTGCGCTCAGTCACCCAGGCGGAGAGGGGGCACGGGCCGTTCGTCCCCCCAAGTGGCAGCCCGGCGGCCTCAGCCGGGTTCTCGCGGGCCGAGCTGGGGGCGGGGCAAGGGAAGGGGGCCAGCGCGGCTGGGTCTGGGGGGCTGGCCGAGGAAGGTGGGAGGGCGGGTGCCGGGAGTCCGCGCGAGTGGGAGGGGGTGCGCACTGCTCGGCCCCGCCAGGCTGCGGGGCCGCGAGCCGCGGGCTGGGTCTGCGCGAGAGGCGACTGCGCCACAAAAGCCTGCGCGTCGCTATCGCCTCCTCCTCCCTCCTTCCTCCCTCCCGCCGCCCGCTCCTCCGCCCCACTCCCGCGCCCGTCTCCGCCCCTCCCCCGGCCGCGGCCTGGCGGCTGGAGCCGGCAAAGCGGGCGGGGCAGGGGAGGGGGCGGGCGCCCGAATATGCAGATGAGCTCGTGACGGACAGCTCTGCGTTCCAATGTCCCTCGGAAACTCGAGCGCTCCTTCCTCAACTCCTCACTCCCGAGTCCAGACTCCCCCAAACCCCGACCGCCGGCCTGGCGCGCGGCTGCGCCCACCGGCTCCGCGCTGCCGCTGCCGAGGCCGCCGCCGCCGCCCAGCCGCTCCCCCGGCCCGCGGGCCGCCCGGGCTAGTGTGCAGGCCGGCCTGCCTCGGCCGGCGGTCCCCGCGCCCGCCGCCGCCGCGCCGCGCCCCGGCCGGGCGTGGATGGAGGGCGCCGCGCGCCCTGCCCGCTGTTCGGCGTGACGCGGGCCCGGCGCCCCGCGCCCACCATGTCCTACCCGCAGGGCTACCTGTACCAGGCGCCCGGCTCGCTGGCGCTATACTCGTGCCCGGCGTACGGCGCGTCGGCACTGGCGGCGCCGCGCAGCGAGGAGCTGGCTCGCTCGGCGTCGGGCTCGGCGTTCAGCCCTTACCCGGGCTCCGCGGCCTTCACCGCGCAGGCGGCCACGGGCTTCGGCAGCCCGCTGCAGTACTCGGCCGACGCTGCCGCCGCCGCCGCCGGCTTCCCATCCTACATGGTAACCGCGCGCGGGCGGGCGGGCGGGCTGGACGCGGGACGCCGGGCGCGGAGACACTGATCGCGGCGCTGGCGGAGCGGGGACGGGGATCCGCGAGCTGGGCCGCGGGGAACGTGCCGGTGGGAGGTGGCTCCGCAGTCGCCGACTGGGGTCGCCGCGCTGCTGGCGGGACGAGAGGCCAGGACAAGCGGCAGGGCGGTCGGCCGGCGACGTCCTGAGCGCGGGCCGAGACTCGCGTTCCACGCCCTTCCACTCGGCTGCAGGGGTCATTTTCCCCAAGAGCCTGTGAAGTGCGACTCCGCTGGGGTCGGGATGGGATCTGTCCTGGGTGGTCCTTTCTTCAGGCGCCGAAGCTCGGCCAGCAGTCCGGAGCGGGCCGGCGCTCGCTTCTTTCGGCGCGAGGCGCGAGGGTCGGCGCCACTGGGGCCTCCGGGGCGATTACCGAGTGTTTAGCATCTACTTGTAGGGGCTTGGGGTCACTGGGTTGGGGAAGGGAGGGAGCATCGGCAGAGGCTCTGGGGCCCGGCCCGGCCGCCAAGATCTCAGCCTTAATCTGTCCCACAGGCCATGCTTCGGAAAAACGTGTCGGCCGGCGTTTGGCCAGCTAAGTGCCGCCTCGGTCCCCTGCGCACCGAGAGCAGCTCCTGCTTCCCCGACCCGTGGTCGGCCCGCGCTCCTCGGGGTCTGCAGCTGGGCCCGGCCGGGTGTGGCAAAACGCATTTTAGATGATGGAGGCCGTAACGGGGGCTTGTGGCCACCTCCCGCGCTCGGCGGAATTCCAGGGCAGCACTGGAGTTGCTGGGGCCTCGGCGAAGGCTGTAAAAGTCTCGAATTTAAACGTTAAAGGCTAATTACCACGTATTTGAAGAATTCGAAACGGTGACTGGCTTCTGAGTTGCAAATTGGATTTGCCGAGCTTTAGGGCGGTGAATAGCGGAGCGGGGGCTCTCGGTAGTTTTTTAACCATATAAGGGCGGGGGAGGGGGAGTAGGGGAGGCAGCCGCACTTAACATCCAGAGAAATTTAGATATCAGGAAACTACCTGTGGGCCTGTGTGTGCGTTCGTGTTTGTGTACGTCTGTACTGGCGGCCCAGGGGCATTTGGGGGAAGATGCCTCGTTTTAGGAAAGTGAAATAGTTGGAAAATTTGATAATAAAACCGTATCGCTTTTCTTGATCAACAGCTGGCCTTAAATTACCCGCTGAGTCCTTTTGCTCTGTTGCCGCGGGAAGCGCAGCTCTAGCGCCGGAGGCATCGTGGGAAAGGCGGCCACGGGCGGGCGGAGGGGTCGCCTTGGCGCTGACGCCTGGCAGGTCCCCAAGCGACCCGCTCACCAGGCTCTTGTCGGTTGCAGGGTGCGCCCTACGACGCACACACGACCGGGATGACGGGCGCCATCAGCTACCACCCTTATGGAAGCGCGGCCTACCCGTACCAGCTCAATGACCCAGCCTACCGCAAGAACGCCACGCGGGATGCCACGGCCACGCTCAAGGCCTGGCTCAACGAGCACCGCAAGAACCCCTACCCCACCAAGGGCGAGAAGATCATGCTGGCCATCATCACCAAGATGACCCTCACGCAGGTCTCCACCTGGTTCGCCAACGCGCGCCGGCGCCTCAAGAAGGAGAACAAGATGACGTGGGCCCCCAGGAACAAAAGCGAGGATGAGGACGAGGACGAGGGCGACTCGGCAAGGAGCAAGGAGGAGAGTCCGGACAAGGTGCAGGAGGGCACCGAGACTTCGGCGGAGGACGAAGGTGAGAGGGGCCGAGGCGGGCGCAGGGTCGCGGGGGCTTTCTTCCCAGGCGGGGCGCCAAGGTGAGGTCAGGGAGGATGAGGTCGGGCGGGGGGGGCGGGTGCTGCCCGCCCGACGCTCCACATTCGGGCCTGGAGTCTCGGCCGCCTGGCAGCTCCGGGGCCGAGCAACTCCTCCTCGGTGAGCGCGTCCTGGGAGGTCGCGCTCCCTGGAGGACGCGGCTCGGGTTGGGTCGAAGTGAGGGAGCAGGTGGGGCAGAGAGCCCCCGGGTGCCACAGACCGTGCCCGCGCCCCTGCAGGGATCAGCCTGCACGTCGACTCGCTCACGGATCATTCGTGCTCCGCCGAGTCGGACGGAGAGAAGCTGCCGTGCCGGGCCGGGGACCCCCTGTGCGAGTCGGGCTCAGAGTGCAAGGAGAAGTACGACGACCTGGAGGACGACGAGGACGACGACGAGGAGGAGGGCGAGCGGGACCTGGCGCCGCCCAAGCCCGTGACCTCGTCGCCGCTCACCGGCGTGGAGGCGCCGCTGCTGAGCCCCCCATCCGAGGCCGCGCCCCGCGGGGGCGGCGGCGGCGGCGGCGGCAAGACGCCCCTGGGCAGCCGGACGTCGCCGGGCGCGCCGCCGCCCGCCAGCAAGCCCAAGCTGTGGTCTCTGGCCGAGATCGCCACGTCGGACCTCAAGCAGCCGAGCCTGGGCCCGGCCTGCGCGCCGCCGGGGCTGCCAGCGGCCGCCGCGCCCGCCTCGTCAGGGGCGCCGCCGGGCGGCTCGCCCTACCCCGCGTCGCCGCTGCTCGGCCGCCACCTCTACTACACGTCGCCCTTCTACGGCAACTACACAAACTACGGGAACTTGAACGCGGCTCTGCAGGGCCAGGGTCTCCTGCGGTACAACTCGGCGGCCGCGGCCCCCGGAGAGGCGCTGCACGCGGCGCCCAAGGCTGCCAGCGACGCGGGCAAGGCGGGCGCGCACCCGCTGGAGCCCCACTACCGGCCCCCCGGCGGCGGCTACGAGCCCAAGAAAGGTAGGCGGCCTGCGGCCCGCGGGGCCTTGGGGGAGGGGGCGCCGGCGGGTCCCCGGTTGGTGAGCACCCTTGAGGAGCCGGGGAAGGGGCCGGGGGACCTGTAGGTCTGGCCGGGGAAGCTTTGTCGCTTACAGGAGAACAGGAAGAAGACAGGACGTCTTTGGACGGTGGTTCTTGGACTACAAGTTAGAAGTGAAGGGGTGGTGAGGGCAGAAAGGGGGCGGAGGGCCAGGCGATCCTGCCACGCAACGGGACTTGCCCCCTTATAGCTGACTTTTCATTTGATTTATCATTATTACCGTTACTAGTATTCTCGTGACTGTTTTCGTTTGGGCAAACACAGATTGCCCAACATGCAGCTGACAGCTTTCCCCCTGCTGACTGAGCCTAAGCTTTCTGTCTTTTCTGTCCCTTTATAGAGTCTCAGCTGAATCTCCTCTTCTGCCTTTGGCTGGAAGGAAACAAAACGTTCTAGTTCTTCCCAGAGGCCTTAGTTTTTAAATCTTCAAAATAGAAAACGAGAGCCTGTTTTCTTTCTCTCCTTTTCTTTATATTGTCTCTGTTGCTCATAATTCAGGCTTGAGCTGATAAGACCTGTAAAAGGAGTCAAGGGGGAGAGAAAATGAGGACGCGGAAACATGACCGAAGTCTGTCTCAGGCAGTGGTGGTGGAGACAGCGGGCTCCCCCAGACTGCTCGCCGGGCGCAGGGGGCAAGGGCATGGCGAGCGTGGGTGTGCAGGCTGGTGGCTGTGCTGCTGTCTGGGAGACTGATGGCTCTGGGGGTGGGTTCTGACTAACTGCCCCCTCCCCTGACAGATGCCAGTGAGGGCTGCACCGTGGTTGGTGGAGGCCTCCAGCCCTACCTATAGAAGGGCCGCACACAGCAATGCAAGTAAGTGGGCTCCCTGGGGTTCCCCCTTACCCCTTGGGTAAGCCTCCCCGAACCAGTTGCCCTGTAAACTTGCTTAATGTGTATTTCTTGCTTTTTGGCACGGGGTATGAGGACAGAGCACTGCAATCTTCCCCCTTTTTTTTGTTTTGTTTTGTTTTGTTTTCCCCTTTAAGTGGGAGGGGATCCATGCTCTTTTAGAGAGTCCTTCTTTTTCTGCTCAAGTTCTGCTTTACAGAATCACTCCTTTAACTGGAACGTATTTATTGCTGTTGTTTTCTCTTTGGAAAAAATAGGTTCTTAAAATCTGGGTATTTGTATGCAAATTTGGAACTTTGTTTTTTAACTATGCTAGACCCTTAATAGACACTTGCTTTGATGAGCGAGTGCCCCTGAAAGTTGGGGTATCAAACGCCTTTATAGATGATCTTTGCAGAGTCAGACTGGAGAGACATAGAAGGACTAGTCTAGCTTTTATCAGGCTTGTCCCTATGTCCAGATGGACTAGGTAGGGCCGTGCAGTTCACCTGGCTGACAGCAGCAACTCAAAAAATACCCACTTTACAAGTAGGCACAATTACTAATCACAGAGCTTGGAGATGGGGAAGAGGCAAGACCATTTCAGATGGACTCCTTTTTAGAATATGATGATGTTGGCATGGGACTGAAGGATTTGGGATGATTTGGTCTTTTCCTTGGTCCACAGGTAGGTGTCACAATTGCTTTGGAAAAAAAAGTCAGCAGGCCATTCTCTCTTCCCAAGTTTATAAATATACAGATGTATTAAAAAAAAAAAGATCTCTAAATCCGGACCACATCTTGTGCCACTGTAAAAGAGAAGGATCCACAGGGCACTGCCAACCCACAGACTCTATTGGAACAGACTTTTGTTGGACATATGTGAATTTGTTGGCATAGTATAGCTTCCCCAATGTATGTGTGACTTTTGAAAACAATCTTTTTTCTCAGGATATCTTGAATTGATCACTTCATTGCCACGGTATATATTCTATAGGTGTGATAGGATTTACTGTAAAGTTTATTTGTAAAAGATGTACACAGTAGAAATAAAACGTGATTATAGAACTTGAGTACTTAAGAAGTGGAAACAAATTTGATATTTATTTTTATAATGATATAAAGCTTCTAGTAATTTATGCAAGTTGTATTGCAATGGAATCTAAACCTTTTGTAAATAGAATCTGCCTGGTTTTTATTTGAACATTGCTGGTTATATAATCTTTGTTGGTTGTTTAACGAGAATTCTTTACTAATTTATATCTTAAATTGTAAATAAAAGCAAACTAGTCTACAACAATGTGGTGTCTGGGGCTCATTTGTCCTGGAAGAGTGATTTGGGTAGGGAGTCCTGGTGATAGTAGCCCCTCTGCCCAGGTGATCTGACCTCAGGCTTTTTAATGAAAATGTGTAAAATAATCTCTCCCTTCTCCTGCTCCTACAAAAAGGCAGATGGAAGAGACGTACACAGTAGGGAGATATGTATGGTTTTAGGTTATTTATGTACACATGCATTGCAAGAAAATTCAGATTTTGTGTTCTGAATATGAAAACGGCTTGTTAGTATACATTTTAAAAGCTTGGCAAGATAAAATGATCTGATATGCCTATGCATTAGGATCCATTTTATATTTATTTCGGGTATAGGCTCATTGAACCTCCTCAGTAACTAGAGAATTGTGATAACATGGATAATAGTTACACCCTCACCATAAATTATTGAGGGAAATAATTGTTTATTGTAACCTTGAATTATCCAAATTGGCGTAGATTATTCAGATTTATTGGATGGCTTCTTAACTCTCCTTTTCATATAACTCACATTAAACACACGGCGAAAATCTGGGAGGAGAGATTTATTTTCCTTACAGTGACTCTTACCCTTACCCTGGGGGGGAAGAAAAGTTTAAAGAACCTTAGCCTATTGCCTCGTTATTGTGTTACTATCTAATGATAGGACAAGTCTAGAATTTGTAGTCAGGGAACATATTCCCTTTGATTAGTATCATAAAAGCAGCAAAACTGTCACTTTAATTTTCAGCAAAATTGTATGGATATCCATATAATATAATTTCAGAAAAGAAATGATCATTTATTTCCTCTCCAAAGATAAATTGAGTGAATATAACTTACGGTTATAAAACAAGAATAATAGCTTCTTAGATTGCCCTTTAATCAATCATACACTTATTTTTCAAGAGGTTCATCTATTTTATTCCGTGATTAATAATGTTGCAGCCTGAGCGCATTATTGGATCCCAGCGGGGGTCATCCCGGATGCTTTTAGCTGCTTTGGAATGGTCAGTTGGGGTTCATTATGGGCTGATATTGAACAATTTATAAAATCTTGTCTACACGTCTGCCAGCTCCGATAGGCCGACGTGTCTGAGGATGGGAAATTGCTGGACCAGTTGATATTGACAAACGGAGCTCTCTCCAGTGGCTTTTTGTGCCTTAGAAATTAGTGGCCTCTTGCCGGGGTCTTGTTAGAAAGGGTATTTGAAAGTAATCTTAGACACTTGAGGCAAATCCAGGGGGCTGTGAACCGGTCACAGCGCCATGCCTGTGGGGAGGAACGGTGGGGTCTGACTGCCAACGGAGACGCAGGCCAAGGTTTCGGTTTTCTATTACTTCTCAGGCATTTTGTTGGCTTTGAGTAGATAAGCATTTGGAGGTTAGCAGAAAGCGAATCTCTGGGGTACACAACTATTTTTTTCTCCTTCCTGCCTCTCCTAGTAAGAGACCTCGACATGTTTGGATCTGAGCTATCTCTTGGCAACAGGGAAGATTTTTCACGTGGGCAGCCTGGTTACTCTGTGGCAGCATGTCTGGAAGAAAACAAATTCGAGTCTGTGGACATACAAGTGAGGCGGGAGCTCCTTTGCCTGTTTTTGTCTCAGCTGAAAGCTTTGTAGAATTACTGTGAAGATAATGATTTCCCCTCCAGATAGCATTTGGCATTGCCATACGAAGGCGTTAAGTAGTTTTGCTTTTATTAATATTAGCTGTATTTCCTAAATCGGCAGGGACTGCGGTGCGCATGGCAGCGGTATCTGCAATATGCAATATTATAATTCAGTGAAAAGTATGAAAGTTGACAATATTCAACAAATTAGGCACTGAAAGACCATGCCCCCAGTGACTATACACACCGAGGGCACTGCGTCTCTTAAAGAAGTGTGGAGTGGAGAAGTAGGAAACCCACGCAAAAATGGGTCTCCTTGCACGTGTTCAGAATTGAAGCCTGGATAAAAGCTGTCTCCCTTTGGAACCGAAGACTGTTTTACCTGGACATGTGATCCCTTCCCTACACACACACACACACACACACACACACACAGCAGCCCTCCGCTCAGGGACAACGCATACCTTTCAATGGGTGAAAACTCAAAGCAGCGCAGGAGATTAGCCCAGGCTAACGAATCTTCTTTGATGTTTATAAGTCCAACAAATTATCAAAGATTTCCATAACTTACCTACCCTGCCTCCTGACCTGAATTTCTTTCTGGAAAACTTGATTTTGAAATGTGCTCTAAGCACATAAAAGCTGCAGGTGTTTAGCGGGATCTTTTTAAGGAAATGCAGAGTGGGTTATGGTTTCTCCACGCAGATCCTTAGGGAAGACGAGGGAGAAAGAGAGACCCATAGAGACACAGAGACAGAGAGACCCTTCTTAGGGAAGGAAGTTGCTGCGTCTGATTTTTATCTTTTGCTTTAAAATCGAGCTAATCAAACATTACGTCCTGGCCTACGAAGACTTTCGCAGATGTTAGCGGAGGCGGAGGAGAGGGGGGCGCGCAGTGGCGAGCACGCGGGGCCTTGGGGACGCGGGCCTGGCCCGGCCTCCCGCCCCTCGGCTGGGATGCAGCCCCGCGGTCCGGCTTGCCGGCCTCTGCCCCGCGCGGCCCCGTGTGCTTTAAAGCAGATTTATCGGAATTCGCGCCTTAATCTCAGGTGGGCCCCGGGGCCGGGCGCTGCTGAGAGCAAGGGGAGCGCTTGCCCGGCGGCCGCAGGCTCCGCGCCCGTCAAATGTCAACATTTGTTCCCAATAAAAGAGTTATTGTTTCTGCAAAGCTGCCGGGCAACTGCCTTTGAAACTTAAAAAGAACTTCATCCACCTTTGTCTGCGGCGAGGCCGCGGGGGCGGCGGAGAGGAAGGGGCCGGGCGCCCGGGCCGGGGCTCCGCGCATCCCGCATCCCTCGCTGCCGCCGCCGCCGCCGCCGCCGCCGCCGAGCAGGTCCAGGAAGCGCGGAAGCGGCCGGGTGCCCGCGAGGCTGTCCTCCCGCGCGTGTTTATCCGGCATCTTTGGACCTGGCCCTTGCGCACCGCTGCGGAAAGCGCGGACGGAGCAGCCGCCCTCCACTGGCCGCGTGCGTTTTAGGGTCATTTAAAATCGCACTGAAATATTATCAAAGGGGCTAAGAGTCAAGTCGACCCTTTTGTTTCTTGACGTGACGGAATAAATGTGCCCTAAATTCTCTGCTCGAGTCGCAGTAAAGAGACATAAGTTTGCAAAAATCATTACAAAGCCATTTATCTTTTCAGCGGGAGGCATCCCTTTTCAAATGTAAACAATACGCTGGATTATTAGAAAGTTCCTCAAAGTAACAGTCTACACTGATTATCCACCACATACTTTTTCTTTAGTTTCCCAGTGCATTGAAAATCCCAAGGAAAACATTCATTTTAACCCCAAACTAAGGATATAAATAGACCCATTAAGTATGTGTTTTTACACTACCTTTTACAAAAATAACATTTTAAACATTAAAAAAAAATGTGTTAACCCAAGAGACAATCTTGGGAACAATACACAACAGTCTGTGACATGTGGATATTACGATTAACGTCATTTGAATTTCTACAGATCGCAAAGGGGACATATCCCTTTGATGTATTTGCAAACCTTTATGTAAGTGACAAATCCCTGCAGATATTTTAAAGGCTTATTATAAGGAGAAATAATCTATGACAATATAATTTTCCAGTTGCTGGAAATTACTTTCTATTGGCCGTGATGAAACCACACGCCAGCCCTTCCCTTTGCTTGGGCTAGAATGCTAGGAAACCGGTGTTTGATGCTATGCACTTGGACGTCAGGCATTGGTAGGCGAGGGAGGCACCACTTCTACCCCCAGTTTGGGGAGCAAATACCCCCATTTTCATGCTCTCCTCTGCTTTTTCACCTGCATCTCCTGCAAACAGAGGGATATAGTCTCAGCTGGCACCTCCACCCTCCACCCTCTAGGCAGAGAAAATAGGCTTGTATTCCCTCTGCTGAGGGCAGAGTGTTCTCGCTCTTTCTAAGAAAGATAAAAATGGAAGCTGTTTGCAAGGAGGACTCTACTGGTAATATAATGCAAATGGGATGAGTCAGGAAATCTGCCTTCTGTTCTTTTGCAACCCCAGGTAAAAGGAAAGAGGAAGAATGATTTTTGTTTGTTTGTTTAAGTGTGGCTCCAAGATACTAAGGAAGCATCTTTTAAAAAGGTGTCCCAATGTTACTTGGTTCTAGATGAAACTGAAAACAAATTAAATCTAAGATTCTTAAAGAAGCAGCTGTGAGGTTTGGGGCTGCCTCCAAATGGAAACTAAGTGGATCTTCATAGGCAATGCCCAGAGGGAAGGAACAAAATAACACTACACAAGCACTCACGTTTTTTTAGGGGGGGGGCGGGGGGAATTAACGATTGTGTGTAAGTTCTGATCAATTATTAACCATTAGTGTCAACAACCGGGTTATAATTACCTTTGGTTATTTTAAAGAAATTTTTTTTTTCATTTCTCTGATTGGGTAATTAGTTAATGCTCTTGAGTAACGATTCTAAGAGATGATCAGACCAGGCCTCTTCTGTTGGTGACCTTTAGGGAAAACACACATTCATGCTCTCCTTGTCAGAAATTCCCTCCCAGCCTCCATTCTACTAGCGGGCACCTTTATGTCCCCCCTCTGCCATAAATAATGATTCGCGAGGAAAAGGGGAAAATGACAAACAAATAGAGTGCTGCTGGAATTAATAAGGCTGACCAAAGTTAGTGGGGTTGGGACTGCTCGCAGCCGCAGGTCTAAGCACGGCCCGTAACGGTGCCAGCATTTCTGGCCTTTCCCCTCCAAGATCAAAAGAAAGCGCAAAGCGAACATTTTAACCCCTGACATTTTCGAACAGGGGAAGGTGGGCTGGGGGAGGACCCCTGTTTTCAGGCCCTGCTCCTACCAGCACAGTGGGACCACCCTGGCCTGGGGATGGGAAGGGTGCCGAGCGTTCGTCCTGAGCAGGTGCGGGTCCCGCGTGACC